CTCTATTTATACATTTTTCAAAATTACAAAAAGTGAAATAAATAATTATAAAAATATATAAAAGTGAAATAACTAATCATAAAAGTGAAAAGTGAAATATCGAAAAAGTAAAATAATAAAAGTGAAAAATAAAAAATGAAATAATAAAAAGTGAAATAATATATATAAAAGTGAAAATAAAAAGTAAAATAACTAAAAAGTGAAAAATAAAAAGTGAAAAATAAAATAAAAATTGAAAAATAAAAAGTGAAAAATAAAAAGTGAAATAATAAAAAGTGAAATAATAAAAGTGAAAAAAAATGAAAAGTGAAATAATAAAAAGTGAAATAATACTAGAAGATTTTATCATTATATGAATATTTAGAATTTTTATATTTTTCAATTATTTTGAATTTACGATTTTTATATTACTACTGTAATAATATCATTGTTTAAGTTACTGAATAGTATTATTATTATTAGATATTTTTCATAATTATAAATAATTATTATATATAATCACTTTATATGATCACTCTAAATGATTATTCCAAATGATTATTCCAAGTGATTATTCTAGCTGATCATTCCAACTAATCATTTCAAATATTCCAAATAATCATTTTAATAATTATTTCATAATTATCAAATACTTATAAATATAGCATGTAATTTAGTTAGAAAAAAATTAATAATCAATTTAATTAATTAATAAATTAATAAAAAATAATCAATAATAATTAATAAAATATATAATAAATTAATAATAAATTTATTTATTAATAAAATTATATATATTTATTATTATATTATAATCTTATAATAAAAATTATATATTTATTATATAACTTTGCTTAATAATTATTTTCAATATAAATTTTAAATCTTATTTTAGTAGATCACATTATAAATATACTATTATTATTATTCTAAATCTATTATAATCATAATATAATACTTAAAGTATTATATATTTAATTACATTATTTATATTCTTTTATCTATTATTAATAATATACATTATCATAATTAAATAATCTATTATATTTTTTTTATATATTCTCTTAATATTATTATCATTTTGATTAATTTTTGAAATACTCAAAGATATTTATAAAAATTAAATGAATATTCAAAGAGAACTTTCAATATCTTAATAATAATTCAAAGTATTAATAATATTTTATAACTATTAGACTAAATATAAATAAATATTAAAATACTAACAATAGAATTACTAAAGATTAATAATAGTTATGTTCTTTTAAATACAATAATCTGGACTACTAAAAAGAGTTCTCAAAATCTTAGAGTCAAAGTTATAGAGATTATAATATTCATATTATAATCAAATTTTTCTATAGTTATTATCTTCAAAAAAATAAAATTTTGTGAATATAGAGAAAATGTGATTATAGAGAAATTTTTTTTATTATATTTATATATAAATAAAAAAGCAAAATAAATAACTATAGAGAGATATAACTATAAATAGACATGACTATAAATAGATTTAACTATATCAACAATATAAAATCCAAAATGAATAATACATTATTAGTAATACAAAATCAAAAATGAGTTTATAGGCAATATATTATTAGCAATATAATCTCAAAAACAAATTTATGAATTATAATAATAATTTCTTTATTTATTATAATATTTAATAAATTTTGTTACAAATATATTCAAATAATCTAATATTAAAATAATAGCTTTTATAGTATTCCTGGTAATCTTGCTTAAGTTACTATAATATTAATTTAAAATATATATAATATTTATAATAATGATACTAAAGCAATTATATAAGAAACAAGAATATTTTGTCAAAAAGATGTAGAGAGAAGTTTCTGCTTAACTACCTACTTTATAATAAGTACAAATTTTGCTTATATAAATGATCAAAATTATATAATAACTAGTTATAAGATAATAATTAAAAATATTACTATTGAAAAACTTGTTCTAATCTAATTTTAATAACTACAATACATATTGTTTTTATATAAATTCAAATTATAATTCATCAGCTATATGAATTCATGTTTGCTAGTTCACTTTAATTCTATTGGTCCAATATTTGCTTATTTATTTGCTTATTTACTTGTTTATTTATTTATTTATTTGTTTGCTCACTTATTTATTTGCTTATTTCACGTGACTAAGTTTTTCTAATAAGATATAAGATATTTATAATTCAATAATATTAAGTATAAATAATCCAATAAAATATTTGATCAAAGTTTATTATACTGTTGTGATTTGAATTTTAACATATCACATAACTTTTTATAATTTATTTTAATTAGATAATTGATTTATAAATTATATTTATATTTATTTTATATTATTTATATTTTATTCATTCTATTTTTATTATATTTCATACTATTTTCATTATATTTCATACTATTTTCTTTTATTTTATACTATTTTATTCTATTTTTATTCTATTTCATTTTATATTTATATTATTTCATTCAATTTTATTCTATTTTTATATTATCTTATTTTATATTATTTATAATTCATACTAATTATATTTAATTTATATTATTATTTTTAGTATGAAAAACACATATTAATTGATTTATATAATCAAATTTGATTAATATTAATGATGAAATTTATGTAATATTAGAGTGAGCAATGTGCAATCATCAAGTGAGCGAGTGATATATAACTATCAAGTAAGTGCTTTTTGTAATCTTAATATCAATAAAAAATAACTTTAATATTTGAAGATTAATTAACAATAACTTATATAAATATAACATATATCTTAGTTTAGAAAAATAATTTTTATATACTTTTGAATCTTTTTAGAATTGAATCTTTTAGATTTAATTTTTTTACACTTTAATATCCTTTGACAAAATCTTCTTAGAAATGAGTCATATTATAAGTCTTAAGTTGAAGATTTTTAGTCAAGTATTAATTATCTTTTCTTTTTTATTTGTATTATTTATTATTTAAAAGATCTTTCATCTATAACAAATAACATTATCTATAATAACATAATTAATTTCTCATTACTATCCTGCAAGTTAATTAATATTATTTAGATTTATAATAAAAGAAGAAGATAATTTTATTAAAAGTTAATCAATAAAAGAAGATTACTTAATAATTAAATTATTTGAATTAAAAGAAGATTTCTGAACTCATTTTAACAGTTCAACAAAATAAATATATTATTATCTACCTTTATTAAATTAGTCTCTTCCAATTTTAATTACTATAAATATACAAAAATCTTTAATAACTTTTTTACTTAATTGAGATATGTGAAGAATATATAATTTATATTTGAAAGATAATAAACCAATAAAAATGATAACAATATAACAGAATTCTTGCTGTTAAGATTTTGCTCTGTAAAATTAAAATGTTAAAATATCTTTTTTTTAATTAATTACTAGATTTTTGATTTATTTTTTCAATTATTTTTGGTATTAAATATTTGTCTATTTTATATATTTTTATAATTCTTGAAATATTGATAAAGTTATAAGATTAATATATATTTTAAAGTAATATCTATGATACTAATTTTATTTTTAAATAATTATCTAGATTTAGAATATTATTTTTTAGATAACTAAAGATGTTAAGTCATTCAGATAAACTGAGTCTGGATCTGGTCCGGACTATCTTTTTTAACCATCCATTCAGGCGAGGTGAACAAACTGGGTCCACCAGTCCTTTTTTGTGGTTGATCCCACTAAGGACCCAGTCCTTAGAAACCAGTTAACTGAACAAGTTCACTAGATTGAGTTTACTTCTTACAGATTAGTTTGTTATCTAAAATTGACTAATTATCCTTGACGAAAATGGAATGTTTTGTTAAATAATATGCACCTCATATATTTCTATTTTGTGCAGTTCATTACCTGCAGTAAATCTCCCATGCTAAAACTTATTACTTCGCTCACATGTTATAAAATTATAAAACACATCACTTTTGATTATTGTTTTATTTCAAGTCCATTGCTTATATATGTCTCTTAATAATAATAACTCTCATCCTATAATAAGAACCTTTTTGCTACATAACTATGTTTACCTCTCACGTTGATCTTGAGTGTGCCTACAATATTCTTTCTCTTCAAAAAAACAGTCTTTCAAGTAACCAAAGCAGTTTTTTGGACGGTAATGATTTTCTTCAAGAAAGCAATTTTCTTTCCCTTAATAATGATTTTCAAGAAAGCAGTTTTTTTGCCCTTGATGATGATGTTCAAGAATGCAGTAACAAGCAAAGCAGCCTTCTAAATGGCAATTTTTAAAAAAGCAACGATGAACAAAGTCTCCTCCTAAATGATGATATTCTTCAAGAAAATAGCAACAGCAACGATCAAGACAGCAACAATCAAGACAGCAACAATCAAGACAGCAACAATCAAGACAGCAACAATCAAGACATCAACGATCAAGATAGTGATGACCAAGATAGCCATCCAAATAATGATCAAGAAAGCATCGATGTGCAAAGCAATCTTTCAAATGATAATTCTCTTATAATTGAAGATTTTAACAGTAAAATTTCATCCATTGATTTCTTACAAAGTGAAGCAAATACCAAAATCCAAGGATCCAATTCTAAATGACGAAAAATTTGCCATTCCCTTTGGAACTACTTCAAACAGTTGTCAGATAAAAAGTATGTTTACTGCAATCTCTGCAGGAATTGTTATGGCAAGAAAATTAGTATCAGCATCATCAAGTGGCATTTTAAAAATTATCACAAAGGAGAATACAAACAATACCAATCAACATTAACTTTTGAACGAATTGAACATTATGGTGTCTGTGATGAGAGAAAAGTCAAATGATTGAATGGAGTTTGCTTCAGTGAATCATTTGTGATCAGCAAGCTTTCAGTGTTATTGATGACAAAGATTTTGTACATTAATTTTGGCTCTGGATCCAAGATTTAAATTGCCAACAAGACAAATCATCTTGAATCATGTAACACATATATACAAGCAAGAACGGATCCAACTACGCAATTTTTTTCAACATTTTGATCATAAGGTCGCAATTACTACTGATATCTGGATGGCATGTACCAATCAAGCTTATCTTTCAGTCATATTGCATTGGATTGATGATAATTGGTGTTTATAACTCATTCTTCTTGATTTGATTCCTCTTCATGAATGATATACAGGTACTTTTTTGGTTGAGAATCTCTGGCAACAAATTGAGTACTTTAATCTGGATATAAAAATCTTATTGATAACTGCTAACAATACCATGAATATGGATATTTGTTGTTGATATCTCGCCAGCATGCTAGAATCATATTGTAATAATACTATTTTCACAAAATATGATGTGCAGCTCATGTACTAAATCTTGCAATTATTCAGGTATCTCAATTATTGATTAATCAATAAAGAAGGCTCGAGTGTTTACCAACCATATCTGTCGGTCTCAGCCTTGTTTTGAAGAGTTAAAAAAAGTATTTGCGATGAAGGGTAAACCATTTCTCGTACCTGATCTTGATGTCAAAACACGTTGGAACTCGATGTATCTGATGCTCAACAAGCTATATCAAATCTGAGAAATGACTAATATCTTGATAGTTTCGATGCCTGAGCTTAAACAGCTATACCCAACTGATTGAGAATGGGAAAAAATAAAAGCTATTATGACACTTTTGCAACCAATATATGAAGTCACCAAGTTACTTTTCTCCTCAAATCATCCAACAATCAGAAATCTATAGACTATATTTCTCATAATTACAATACTTCTTACTGAGACCCAAAGTAAATTAAGATCAATTGAGGTACGTATTGCTAAAAAAATTATTCAGAAACTCGATGATTATTGGAATGATTTGCAGTCTTACTTTCATGAAACAGTATTGCTTGATCCATCAACCAAATTTTCAAATCTAGTACTGACAAGTATAATACACATCAGACGATTCATGCAATATATCAAGCTTATACACTGATCATAGAAGACGTAAATCAACAATTATTAAGACTAGACCAGATCACGTCAGCTCGTGACTACTTTAGACATCAATTGAAGTGGACACACAATATAAATACAAGCAACAATGTATTGGATGAATATCTTAATGCAGCTGATGAAGATGTAAATGTTCTTACCTATTGGAAATCAAAATCTTCAAATTCACGATGGATACCTCTTATTAAGATGGTTCATGATTACCTTGTTGTTCAGGCAACTAGCATTTCTAGTGAGCAGATTTTTTCAACGGCAAAACATACTATAAGTGCTGTACGTAATTAGTTAGATAGTGAAAAGGCACGCGCAAGCCTTTGTTTCAAGACATGGTATAGTGTGTGATTAATAAAGAATTGGGAAAATGACAGATGTGAGTTTTTTTGAGTAATGACAAAACAATTAATTATATAGTGAAATGGTGGGTGGGTGAGTTTTTTGAGTAATGTCGAAGCGATTTATTATATAGTGATAGATAAACTTATAATTCAGCATGATTATACTAAATTTGGTTTTAATGATAAATTAGCGTTAGGTAGTATCAGTATATACATGTAATCGTAATAATTTAGCACTAAATTTGACTATACCGATACTGATATATATATAGTTGTACATGTAATATGATCATAATAATTTAGACTCCATATGATCATATTAAATTTGGCTAAATTTCATATTGATATGTGATGTTTATATTACTAAAAATTGACTTATTTTTTCATTTCAGTGATGCATTACTCTTGAGCGTCACTGTATTTTTTGTACTAAAAGTTGTATTGATAATATATAGTATTTTAATATTTTCATAATAACATTTATAGTTTCACATTAATTTTACGAATAAAAAAGAATTTATTAATATTGAACTAAATTCAGTATACTGTAGACCGGATTCAGGAACTGAGTCCTTAAATCTGGTCCTTGAATCCAGTCCTTGAATCGTAGTTCAAGCTTATCCAGCCCCTGGGACTTTATAGAACTGGATTGGGACTGGACCAGATTGGACTTTTAACATCTCTATAGATAACTTGTAATTACTAGTAAGATTCAATAGTATTCTTCCAATTTTGTAATATATTGAGAATATAATATATTTATTATTTTTTAATAATTTATAAAAATAATAATATATTTACAAATAAAATATTACTAATAAAAACTTTGTTATTTTTATTAAATTAAAGGATTAGAGTATAAGAATTTCTAGTAACAAGAGACTCTTCTTTTATATATTTTTAATCTTTTATATTGTTATCATTCTATCTTTCATCAACTATATCGCATTATATTTTTAACGCAGTAATATTCAGTTAGACTTTTTACTTTTCTATATTTTTTACATTTTTATCCAATAGCAATAATTTATATTTTTATCCAATTATTTTATATTA